CTCCACAAACTGTTCCATGTGATTTAGCGAAAGAAAAAGACTTAAAATATTGATGTTGTAATGTATTAATGAGCTTCAAGAATTAATTAAGGTCTTTTAGGTCAATATTCCAGTGGTTAAAATATTAATTGAACATTTAATTAACTGAGATAAATAATGAAATAAAGACGTAATATTTAGGCTGTTTTGTTATCATGGTTACTGATTATTGGTAAGTGTGATGTAGATAAAATAATGCATAACGAGAGAGAGGGGGGGAGTACTCGTATAGGAAAAACTTTAACCCATACTTATTCGGGTTATGGAATGTTGACAAATTTTAGTTCCAGAAATAACCACCAGAGCGTATCATATTAACTCCTATCTTAAACTGAAGTATTTTTGCCTTAACTTATCCCCTAACCTAACCTAACCTAACCTAACCTAACCTAACCTAATAGATCCCTGACTTGTGCAGCTTACATACCGATTTATCTTAATACAACAGAGGCAATGACCCTTTTTCACTGAAGGACATCAGACATTTCTAGTTGGACCATGTGACTACCAGTTCTTTTTAGATCATTTATATACACTGTATATACGGACCGTCCCAAATATACACACACACAGTCCACTAAGTCTTCCATAACACGAGTGAGGGTTTGTCAATGATTTTTTTCCCCTGCTATTAATTATCATTTTCTCTTTTTTTATCCTTCTCTGGTTTGGTCATCGTGGCTGGTCATTAATTATTCCAGTTCAGTGAGCGACATCATTTTCTGCCAGACTGGAGGAGCTGAAGTAGGCTGCATGGGGGAGAGGTGGGTACTGGGGTTCTCTGGGGGTCTCTGGGGGTTCTGGAGGCTCTCTTGGGGGCTCTCTGGGGCTCTCTGGGGAGTCTTTAGAGGGCTTTGGGGGCTCTCTGGGGGATCTAGGGCTCTGGGGGACCTCGGCAGGGGGATCTGGGGGCTCTCTGGGGACTCTCTGGGAGGGATCTGGGAGGCTCTGGGACTCTCTTGGGGTATCTGGGGGTTACGTCCTCCCTACTACAGGAAATGGAGAATCACAAACACATCTAAGGTTCCTGTCCTATGTCCTTGTGCAGCCTTGATGATATTATTAAGACTTTCTCGGGGCGTCTTAGTTAAGTTTTACTTCCTTTTATTACTGAGGCTCGAACCCTTTCATGGGAGATGTGAAGATATCCACAAGCGTGTAGATGAACGCACAAAAGTCCCCACTGGTATAATTCTACAGTAGTTCTAATAAATCACTCTCAAAAGGTTCTCGAAATGGCCACACGAACACGCCAGGACCAAGAGAGAGAGAGAGAGAGAAGAGATGGGGCGGTGACGGTATAAATCACCAGGACCCCCAAAGAGCAGCAGCTACCACCATTAATCACAGTGTTTGCGACAGTTTCACGGAATCACAAAACTGCGTCACGCGTCCCTGCCCAGCCTCTGCAAGTCACTACCAACATTTGTAAACGTTTCCTCTGATATACCTCCGCCTCCTCCTCCGCCTCCTCCTCCTCCTCCTCAGGGCCGTCACACAGGAAGACTTTGTCGTACTTATGAGTAAAAAATTATCGTGTTATTACTTGTCTCTTTCATATGTAAATAAAACTTTCATTAGGAATATTACTACTGTCAGTCTGTCAGTTTTCTTGTCAGCTTGTAGTAAAAAAATTAATAAACATCAATATAATTTACTCCATTACTTCACTCTTATCAATGACAGGAAGTGACGTAATTATCATGTTTGTTTATTTTTGTATTTATTTAATTTCTCCTGTATATCAATATTAGATAAAACAAATGAAATGCTGTAGAGGAATTAAATGATATGAGTACTCCAGCTATTGTAAGTGTGTTATAGTCTAAAGTATTTTTGTAAGTAAGCGATGTGTTATAAGTATTTGTTAAAAGTGTTTATAAGTATATTGAAATTTTCTTAGTTATATTACTGAAGGTGGGGTTAATATTATTCTCCCCCTTCAGTCTCTCTTCTCTCCCACAGTCCTCCTTTCTCCCCCACAACCCTCCATCCTCCCCACAACCCTCCACCTCCCCCCAACCCTCCACCCTCCCCCACAACCCTCTCATCCTCCCCCACATCCTTCATCCTCCCCACAACCCTCCATCCTCCCCATCCTTCCTCCTCCCCAACCTCCATCCTCCCCCATTCCATCTCCCCACCTCCACCCTCCCCACAACCCTCCATCCTCCCCCATATCACCTCCCTCTCCTCCCTCACAGTCCCCTCTCCTCCCTCGTCCCTCTCTCCCCCCATCACACCCCCAGGCACCGGAGCTGTGGGAACTATCACCGTCCAGTAAAGGCGCTATAGACCCCGTCATCCGCCCTACAAATCCCCTCTTAACGACATCTTGTGGGAGCAGCCGTGTCCATAAGCCTGTTAAAGCCTAGTGCTGGGTTCATTACTGGACTGGGGAATATAAGGCTGTGTTCTATTAAAGGGGAGCTCTGATTAGAACCATAGGTAAGTAAGGTTAGGTTAGGTAAGGTTAGGTAAGGTAGGGTAAGGTAGATGGGTAAGGTAAGGGGTAAAGATGGGTAAGGTAAAGAATGGGTTAAGGCAAGGTATGAGTAAGGTTAGGCAAGATAAAGGTAAGGTATAAGGTAAGGTATTAAAAGGTAAGGTAAGGTAAGGTAAGGTAAGGTTAGGCAAAGGTAGAGTAGGTATAAAGGTGAGTAAGGTAAGGTAAAGGTAAGGTAGGAGCAAGGTAAGGTAGGTTAGGCAAGATAAAGGTAAGGTAAGGTAAAGGTAAGGTTAGGCAAAAGGTAAGGTAAGAGTAAGTCTGGATGGTTTTTTTTTTGGGGTTCTGTGTAGCTGTATTCCTTCTCTTGGGCCAGTTAGTGAGAAGTTATGGAAAAAATAGATAG